GCGGGTGCGGCGAATGGGATGGGTTTGTTGGGCAGAACGGGAGGGCAGAGCATGAAAATGTGAGTGAGTTTTGGGTGGTTGGTTGTTTGGGTTTTTTGTTGTTTTGTTGTTGTTTTGGTGATAGTGATAAGGAAGTGATAACGTTATTGATAAGAAGGTGATAAGGTAGTGATAACATTGGCGATAAGGAAGTGATAAGAAGGTGATAAGGAAGTGATAACGTTGAGTGATAAGGCAGATAATGATTCTTGTTGCGGTTGCAGTGAAATGCGGAATTGTGCATGTGAAAGTCACGTGGCCGAGTTTTTGGCCCGTTTGGATATTTTACCAATGGAACAAGGCGTGCGGATTGGTTTCATAAGGCAGTTTTTGCTGGCATTGGAGAATAAGGCCAGGGCCTTCATAACGTACGTTCAGGACGCAAGGTAAGCACGTGCTTGGCACGTGATTTTCATGTGATATTCAGTGATAATAGTAGTGATAAGGTGGTGATAATATTAATGATAAGGAAGTGATAATAGTGATAATATTAGTGATAAGGAGGTGATAAAATTGGTGATAAGGAGTGATAATAACGGTGATAAGGAGATGATAATATTAGTGATAAAGAAGTGATAGTATTAGTGATAAAAAGATGATAATCTGAGTGATAAGGTGGTGATAAGGAAGCGATAACATTAGTGATAAGGAGGTGATAAGAAAGTGATAAGACTGCTGATAATAACTGATAAAATTTCAGTAGACCGCGTGATGGTGATAAAGAGCACGCGTCCAGTTGTAAGTGGAGTTTGAGTGCGGCACGAAAGGCTTTAGACTTGTATTCCGAGGCGTGGTTCGGCATTGTTTTAGCTGTAGCTGACCGTCTGCAGCCGGATTTAGCACGTTTCATATATGATTCGAGAAGTGGATGACTTGATTTTGGTTCAAAAGGGTGGGATATTTTGCACCCTTCCCTTGGGAAGAGGTAATTTTGTACCCTTCCCTGGTAAAGCGGTAATTTTGCACCTTTTATTGGTAAAGCGGTTATTTTGCACCCTTTCCTGTAAAGCGGTAATTTTGCACCCTTCCCTGTAAAGCGGTAATTTTGCAC